TAACAATCACAGTTATAGCTTCCAAAGTTTATAGCACACTGACTATAGTACAATAATAATAGATACTCTCTTTTGGCGCGTCGCGTTGATTATATTTATAGGCGAGTGGAGAGTTTCTCGAAATTTCAGTTTTACGTAACAATACTGACGCTAACACAAGCATTTACATAAATTCATATATTGTTGATTCTTACACTCGAAAATCTTCTACAATTTTAGAGAATAGGCGGGAGTTTCGCAATACATATTTAACACTATAAGCTATACATGTTTCTAAATATAAACTTAATCTAAACAAATGTCGATATTAAAATAAATATATAATAACAAATCCTCACATATTCCACGCGGTAGACTGAGTGCAGACAGTCCACTGTGTAACTTTGCGCAAAAACAAACAGATATTAATGTTAATACAAACAGGTTCCCCAACTCTACGATGCATTCTTATGTTGTTTTTTTTACTTCTACTCATAAAAATCATATATAGAATTATTCTGTATTTGGCCAGCGATAAGTTTACAGACTTCCAACTCTAAAATCCGGGGCTCGATTCCCCGCTGTGGACAGAGTGCAGATTGCACAATATACAGCTTTGCACTCAGAAAACTAATAAAACAAACAAATTCGTGTATTTAATTTAAAAATATGAAACCAACTACTATTTCTAAGTAAGTTGGAAAATCATTTTTGATATATAAATATGTTATATTAACGGCTCAAGTTTGATCGTAGTATGTTCAGCAACATTTCATTTGAGTAAGTTGGAAAATAATTTTAAATATATAAATATGTTATATTAACGGCTCGTGTTTGATCGTAGTATGTTCAGCAACATTTCATTTGAGTAAGTTGGAAAATAATTCTAAATATATAAATATGTTATATTAACGGCTCGTGTTTTATCGTAGTATGTTCAGCAACATTTCATTTGAGTAAGTTGCAAAATCATTCTTAATATATAAATATGTTATATTAACGGCTCGTGTTTGGTCGTAGTATGTTCAGCAACATTTCATTTGAGTAAGTTGCAAAATCATTCTTAATATATAAATATGTTATGTTAACGGCTCGTGTTTGGTCGTAGTATGTTCAGCAACATTTCATTTGACGAGAAGAACATTAGCTGCAATTTTTCGTACGTCATTTAAACAATGAACTAAAATTTTCATTTGCTTTGAGCTGTTTTCTCAGACTGGGCGTGGCTTAGTGGTAAGGTTGTAGGGCTACTGTTCATGAGGGCCTAACCTTATGTCGCGATTCCGTTGAACTCCGCACTTTTGCTATAGGCACGATATAAAACTGGCAGTAAAGCTTTTGTGATAACGAGTGCTGCTGATTGGCTGCTTTTCCTCTGGTCGGTACTCAAAATGGGGACGACCATAACTTAACAATGTCTCGTATAAGGTGCTGTTCAAATTGAAAATTGAAGTGCCATATTTAAAACAAAGCATGCTCAATGTTAAAGATAAAATGCGATTTTAACACTGTATTTTCGTGTGTAAAGTAATTGTATAAAAATTTTGTAATCTGTTGCAGGGTGAGAAAAGACTATCTATTTCCTTAAAGCATGTTATACTTCACAGAAATCTTACAAACGAGAAAGTTCACGTGACACCCTAGTTGAGTGTCATAGTTTCGTAACTAGGGAAAGAGGAACTTGGTGTCTTCATTGGCCAACATTCTGTATTAAGAATATGTGCTCAATAAGTAGAGAAAACTTGAAACATTAAATAAGTTGGTATGGCAGGAAAGATGGTAAGTATGTTTGCATGCCATCTCCCATTTACCTTAAGGCCGACTCAGCCGTCCTCAACTATTTTGCATGTCAGTCAAGATTTTGATGTACTTACTCTCATTCCTGCAAGACACTTACACATAACTTAAACAAGAAAATAACTATAAGTTAAAATCCCCAAACTACAAGTTAATCTCACAGAAGTGAAAAACAAACAGCAAAAACATCTCTTGGATAGTAGCAAAACTTGAAGTCAAATAGTATAAAAATTACAAGAATAAACCCTTAAAAAATAGAACATAGAAATAAAACCGTTTGAAATTAAACATATAATACAAAAACCCTTCATGTAAGTTAGAAATA